TAAAGACAGGAAAGAAAGAAGTTAAATTACCATTATTTGTGGATAACATGATACTTTACATGCAAGTCCCCAAAAACTCCACCAAAAGACTTCTAGATTTAATAACCAAATTCAGCATCATAGCTGAATACAAAGTGAACACTGAAAAATCTATAGCATTCCTGTACACAAATAAAGTCACTGAGAGAGAAATTGATGTAGCAATACCTTTCACAATAGCATCAAAAAAGATGAAATACTCAGGAATCAATCTCATAAAAGAAGTAAAAGATCTTTACATCAAAAATTACAGAACTCTGAAAAAGGACATCAAAGAGGCTATCAGAAAATGGAAAGAAATCCCTTGCTTGTGGGTAGGAAGAACCAACACAGTGAAGATGGCCATACTCCCAAAATTGTTATATACATTTAATGAAATCCCAATCAAAATCCCAATAGCATATCTCACAGAATTAGAGAAATCATTACTAAAATTCATTTGGAATCAGAAGAGAACTAGAATAGCAAAAACAATTCTGGGTAACAAAGGCAAGGCAGGAGGCAGCATAATCCCTGACTTGAAATTGCAATACAGAGCTACTGTGATAAAAAAAAACAGTATGGTACTGGCAGGGGTGGGGGTGTGGGGGGTGGGAACAGACCTGAGGGTAGAAGATGCAGAAAGAACCTCAAACACACTCAGCCACCTTATCTGTGACAAACACCTATACTGGAAGAAAGAAAACCTCTTTAACAGATGGTGCTAGAAAAACTGGCTTTCTACATGCTGAAGACTAAAACTAGACTCATGTCTCTCACCATGGACTAAACTAATATCAAAATGGATCAAAGAGATGAATATTAAAATAGAAATATTAAATCTGCTGGAAGATGGGATAGGTAGAATGCTTAAAGACAGAGGAGTAAACAAAGACTTCATGAACAGAACCTCAACTGCACAGGAAATACTACAAAGAATCAACAACCGAGAGCTCATCTTATTAAAAAGCTTTTGTACAGCAAAAGAAATCACTAATAGAGTGAAAAGACAACCCATGGAGTAAAAAAAGAATTTTAGCCAGTGGTTCCTCAGACAAAGGACTAATATGTAGAATATAGAAAGAATTGAAAAAAATCAGCCCCCGGAAATTTAACAGTCCAAAACTGGGGATCTGAGATGAATATACACTTCTCAGATGAAAAAGTACAAACAGCAAATAGATATGTAAAAACATGTTCAACATCATTATTCATTAGAGTGATGCATAATTAAAACAACACTAACATTCCATCTCACTCCAGAATGAATGGCTATTATCAAAAAATCAGGGCCAGGGATTTAGCTCAGTGGCGCCACTGCCTGCCGCACAAGCACAAGGTCCTAAATTCAATCCCCAGTTCAAAAAAAAAAAATCAACCAACAACAAATGCTGGCAGGGCTGTGGGGAAAAAGGAATCCTTCTCCACTGCTAGTGGAAGTGTAGACTGCTGCAACCACTGTGGAAATCAGTGTGGTGATTCCTGAAAAAAACTAGGATTAGAGGTTCCATTTGACCCAACTATTCCCCTGCTGGGTATCATCCCAAAGCATCATACCACAGAGATACATATGCACCCATGTTTATAGCGGCACAGTTTGTAATAGTTAAATCTTGGAAATAGCCCAAATACCCATCAACTGTTGAATGGATAAAAAAGTTTTTTACAAAATGGAGTACTATTCAACCATAAAGAACGATAAACAAGACATTTCTAGGTAAATGGATGTACCTTGAGACCATACTATTAAGTGAAGTAAACTGAACACATGTGTGTAAATATCTGTCTCTCTAGTGTGAGAAGCTGAAAGTATATATAAGGACCAAAAAGTACAATAGATATTGTAACATAGGAAGAAACTATTCAAAACTACACCAACTGTGAGATACTTTGTTAATAATGAAAATGTTTACCCCCAAAAAATCGAATAGTATTACTAGGAAGTAAGTTGGGAGGTAAATTAGCAAATGAAAATATATTCTTTTAAGATCATGACACACACTATATTTACCATTGCTATTCTCTAATTATCTTTGTTATGAAAATTATTTTTTCATAGAATGGCTTTTATATCTAGTAAGTATCTACTTGTAGTGCATTAAAAAAATTAAAAATACATGGCTCCTGTAACTGAAAGGTGTTTCTGATACAACTGCTCAGAAATGTGTTCTTCTCCTGGAGATTCCATGAAGCACACTGGCAGGGAGGGGAACTTTCAGATCTCCCTGTGCTGAGCCTGCAAATGGGAGGGCCCTTGCTGGGCTCCATCAAGCTGCAGATGTAGGTGCACATGGCCAAGCCTGCCTCTTCCCCTATTTCTGATTAAAGTGAATTACAACTAAACTTCACACAATGCCCCAGGGTATGTCAAGCAGCTTCAGCAAAGGGCCTTAGAGGTTCTGATTACAGCAGGAAATGGCCCCCCCCAGAGAGAGTGGCTGGCACTCTGAGGTTGCAAAGCTCCCACCACACCATAGGGTTCCCTCCAAACACTCACAGCCATTCAAGCCATACAATAACTGCACAGTCCCTACTTCTTTGAGTCTTGGAGTAGCTTCTGTGGAAGAAAGGAGAGAAAAAAGTTTTGGGGAAAACATGCATATGATATAGAAATTATTCTTGGAGGGAAAACACAGAGAATGTACAGAAGAAAAATAAAGTAGGTCCCAGAGAAACAATTGTAAGAGGAGTTTTGCCTCTAATTACAAATCAAATTTCCCTCATATGTATTTTTGGCAGATTATCAGGGCAATGTACACATGTGTATAATCCCAGCACTCCAGAGGCTGAGGCAGGAGGATCACTGGGAAGGTGAGGCCCCCCTGGACTACATAATGAGTTCAAGGCCAGCTTGAAATACCCCATCTCAAGATAAGCAAAAGATAAAAATAAGTGTGTTTGAAAGAGAAAAACCTATGGTCTCTTCATGGAACTTGTGTGACACAGTGATACTTTAAGAAGGTTCATTCATTTGGTTAAACAGCCTTAGTGGCCAGGGTCCTGGGGGAGGGAGGTCAGCTCCCATAGGCTTCAGGAAGCATGTCTGGCTTAGAGAAGAGTCCAGTGACAGAGACTGATCTCAACATCAATCTGAGCCATCTGGTGGTTGAAAGAGTATTTGGAAATTTAAAAATAATTCAATTTAGCTCAAATGCTGATGCCTAAAACTAGAACAGAGTAGCCCACAGTTAGGAAGATGCTACTGCCTGGGGCGGGACCTAGTGTCCCATGACCAGAACAAGCTCCTCACATAGGTCCCTATAGGAGAAGGCCACTTACAAACAGGAGTCTTCAGGCCCAGATAGTGAGACCAATGCTGATTTCTCTGTTCTCAGTCTCTTTCTAGTCATAGGAAGTAGGAAGAAAGTTATATTCAGAGGGCTCTTGACAGACCCAGTCCATAACTTAGGGAGCCACTTATGTGATTCAGTTGCTAAGGGTTTGTCCAAGGGCAGCAAAGATAATCATCTGTTTGGGAAGCGGGTCAGTGATTACCTTGGTCAATGTCTACTGCTGAGGAGAGATTCATGTTTTTCTCTGTGCTAGATCTGATAGCTTCTCCTGTGACTGATATAGATGTTAAATATGACAATACATTCAATCAAGCAAGAGTCCAACTTTGGGCTTATTCTACCTTTTTTAGTTTTGGTATATTTGGGGGGGTTTTTGGATCTAGCCATACGTGGAGTGTCCAATTAAACTATTATGCAACATCTCTTTGGTTTTGAATTGTTTTCTTTTCTTTTTTCAGTGCTAGGGATAAAATCTAGGGCGTTACAAATGTTAGTTAAACACCTACTTCTGAGCTGCATCCCCAGCCCTAATCAACATGTTTTAGTAACAGGCACCACGCTAAACTCTGGGAATATAGTAGGAAACAAATCTTGAATAAATAATCCACACTCTTGTGAAATTTACATTCTTGTGAGAACAGAAAACAACAACTATATGTCAGGTGGAGGTAACTAGAGAAAGTGGATTCAAGGGATGGCAGGCAGACTGGTCAAAGACATGACATCTGAGCACATACTGAGGGAAAGTGAGGGAAAGAGCCATTCAGATAAATGGGAGATGAACATTCCAAGCAGAATGAGTACAGCAGCAGAATGAGAGGAGAGGGAAAGGGGACCAGAGCAGATAGGCAATGGAGCTAAACTGAGCATATCTGAAAGGCTGAGCCATACTATAGGTTCCACTTCATGTCCCAGAGGCCATCAGTGAAAAGCTGATCTTATGTGCCTTCCTTAGAACCAACCACCCCAGGACAGGAGACGAATCTTACAGCACAGTGTAGCTGAACAGCCCAAGCCTGAGTGAGAATCTCCATGCTGTATGTTTTATGATGTTAGGTGGGTAACTTCAACTTCCCCAGTACATTTCTTCATGTATGAAATGTATACAGTATCAACCTTCAGAGAGTGACTCTACAGATTAATGAAGACTGATGATTATATGTTATGTATTACGTGCACTCAATACACAGTAAGCACTCAACTAAGTGTTAGTAGTAATTATATTTACTGATAATAAACAGCCTGTGCCTAGCATATTATTTTTCTGCTCAGTCACTATGTTCTTCACAAGTATGAATACAAGAGTCTCCCAAAAAGGAAATACTCCCCATTAGAGAATAAGTTGGATCCATTTGAAAAATATATCTACTTTGGATTCTTCCTTGCTTTGACCTGGATCATACAATAATTATGCTCACACATTTAAACATAAAGGCCAATTACATACTTATTTAATTTTACATATATTATACTGAGTGAAATTTAAATTGGTTGCCTTAGATGTGGTCAATCTATTAGGACCATCAATTCTAAAATGCCCACTGCTTTACACAACTCTTCCAGTCAGTAACACTGACTTCTGTACAAACATATCTGTTAACAACTATAGTTTCCATAAAGAGCATAGTTTGTTTTTAGAAGTCACTGAACACCCAATTCATAGATATTATCCCAATCCCATGTCCTTACCTCCTGTAAAAACTTCTCACTCATTTGACTGAAATGATGTCCTGGAGGCTTGATCCCAGACACCATCAATCCAGAACTGAAGACCCTGGGTTTCTGCAAGTCTGGCTTGAATTTCTCATAGAGGTTGGCAGATGTCTTAAGGTCACCACTTGCTACCCTGTCCTCCTGGGGTAGGGGAATGCTACATGTGGGCGGAGCATAGGGAAGACCCACAGAAACCAGTGAAGTGTCCACCGGGCCCAGGGCCTGTGGATTCCTCCGGATGTAGGTGATGATCTTGGGCCTCACATGCTTGGGCTTGGGCATAATGATGGGCTTTGTGTCTGTTCTATCTTCCATTTTTTCTACCTGATGTTTCTCCATTTCTTCCTGCAAGGAAGGTGTGCCCTTGGAATGTGTGACAAAAGGCTTTGGGATCCCACTGGAGAAGATGTCCTTGTCAGGCACTTTGGGGTATGTGTGCAACAGTTGCACACTGTCAGTGGAGGGTGGGACCAGTGAGGGTGATCCTGTGTCCACACTGAACACATCAGGGTCCTGGAAAATGCTACTAGGTAGTGTAGGCTGGTGGGTCATGTTCACAGTCATGTCTGGGTGGAGGGTAGCTGGGGTATTGAGAAATGAGTCTGCTCTAGATGGAGTAATATCAGTCTTGGCTGCATTTTCTGGAAGGTTCCTAGGTTCAGCCACAGGTGTTGCAGTATCTTTGCTTTCTTCCACTTCTAGGCTTCTGCTTTGAAGATCCAGAGACTCAAGGACCTCAGTTTTGCTCTCTTTCACAGAAGGATCTGATATCAACACCACAGTATCATCTCTTTTCCCAAAATCCAGCCTCCTTCTTTCCTCACTGACATCTGAGGGCTTGATTTCAGGCAGGCCATTAGGAACAATGGCTACATAGCCAACATCTTGTGAAAAGTTGCTGGATGTCATTTCATCCAATTTACTTCCTGTGCTTTGTGACATTCTGCCAGTTAGCTGATTACCAGCCACTTCCAAGGAAGCAGGGACCTGTTTGAGGGTAGTCTGGAGAGATTCCTCCACACCTACATTGACTCCTGTCTCCTCAATGTTACCTCTGTCCACTCCAAGATGATGGCAGATATTGTCTGATGGACCACTAATGGCAATGGTGACTTCTTGGTGTGCTTCCCCACATGGTTCCTTTCTTTCTAGGGCTGACATTTTCTTTTCCTTGTGACATCCCAGATCACCTGTGTGGTTTGACTTTAGCTCCTGCCCCGTCCTGAATTGAACATATTTCAGTTCCAGCTTTGGCTGCCCCTTTCTCTGACCTAATTGTGCTTCAGAATAACTCAGGATTTCCTTTGACACCAAAGTTAAATTCAGAGCAGGTTCAGGATGGGCAGGATGTGACTTGTGCTCATTGTAAATATTCAGTTTATGTCCCCCCTCCATCTGGGCCTCTGAGGGGGTGGTCTTCCTGGCTTCTGAGGTAGATGGTTTAGGAGGATGCACACTTTTTCCCTCTGAAGTACTGTAAGCTGAAGGAAAAGCTGTCCCTGAAGAGTGGTCAGCCAGTGTCCTCTGCAGCTCCTCCCCATCCCTGGGTACAGGAACCCATGGCTCAGGGGCATCAGGCCTTGCAAGCTGTGGACGATGTGGGGGCAAGCTACTAGCTACAGCTGCAGAGCTGCATGCTCTTTCCAAAGAATGCCTTCTCAACTCTTCATTGTCAAGGGTCTTGGCCAATTTGTCCTTTGGAACATGCCGGTTAACTTCAACATCCTTTTTAGCCAACACTTCTGAATTGACTTCACCTATCATATTCCTCCAACTTGACAGGCTTGGCCCCTGGGCACTTCGAGGAGTCTGTAAGATATCAATACCTCTCTCCATGGCACAATCTTCTTGTGGTCCCCTAGAGAAAGCAGGAGAAAGTTGAAAATCTTTCAAGCTTGTAGAGCCAGCCTGAGACCCTCTCCTAAAGCCCTGAAGTTGGTGAGGGTCCATCTGAAAGTGGGAATAGTGTTCTAGCCCACTTGAATTTGCATTTCCAATTTCATCAGTCAGGTCACATGTCTTGGACTCATCCAGAGGAGAGCTGACCTCCAACATGATTTGATTGGCATTTGTATCTCCCAGACTTAGAATGCTCTCGTTGTTTTTTGCTCCATTTCTGTTGTCCTGCAACTGATTGAAACATGATTTCTTAGGAGCCACAGGAATGCTCATAGTCAATCCTTTGGAGGGGGCCTGCTGGCCATGCAGTCTTAGTTAATGGAAAGGGGCTTCCTTCAAGCTGCAATAGAGCTAATAGGAAATTTTCAAGCTGCTTGTCCTCCTCTGACAATGTCACATTGCAACACAGCTTTAATCATTTTTGCAAACATTGTCTTGATACACAACAGAAGGATTTATCTGTTAGGTTCCTGCTGAATGAGAGCCAATTAATCCATGAGACCTAGAGAAAAACAGGAATACATTCATGTTAGATTGACAAATAGATGCTCAGGAGAAAAAGGCACAGTAAACATACAGATGTATTCCTCAATTCCATACTATTTCATCCACTCAGCAATTTTTCAAAAACCTTTCAGATATGGGCTCCTGCTGGCCAAATATGGAAAAACTGGAACATGAAAATGATGAATGTTAGCAATGAATTATAAATGCAAGTTATTATTTTAAATTTTAGAAATCCAAGAGTCCATAATGATCCTGATTTTAAAAGATGGAGAAGGCAAGGTTCATCTTCAGATAAAAATATCCATTAATGTAGAAAAATTACAGAATTTGAAAAATTACTATCTTGTAGTCACAAGAATAATAATTATCTCGGCAAGGGACACCAATAGACAGTAGAAACATGGCATGAAAAATAATTGTGGAATAGGATATTCACAGAATCTGAAAGTATCATCCCTCAAATTATTTTATTTCCAACAAAAAGAAAATATTATTTTTATAATGCAGAAATCTGGTAGACGGCATCTCAACTAAATGATCAAAGTTAACATAATGGAAATTGATATCAAGTGCCACAGTTGCCAGGCAGTTCTCCATGGCTCACATCGCTTGCCATAAATGATCAGCCTGAATTTAATCATGAGGAAACAATTAGACAGATTTAAACTGAGGGATGTTCTGTAAATTACTGGCCTAATTTCCTCCCAAAATGCCAGTGGATGCTGGACTTAAAAAAAAAAAACAGCTAAAGGCATTATTGAGATATGATTAGTAGTCACTGTTAATCTCCTCCAGTACCTAATTTATAATAGGTAAGTATAAATAGAAACCAAGAGACCTGGGTTTGGTACTATACACAGTTCCTGGCATCAACTGGGATCTTGGAATACATCCTTCATGAAGAAAGGCAGACATCTGTATAATTAAACACCCAAGAACTCAGCCCAAGTATGTTGCAGATACTCCAGAGCCCTTCTCCTTCTTAGCCTCCTACTTTTCCAAAATGCAGGTAGTTTTTTAAACCTAAATGAGATCCTTTCCAAAAAGCTGGAAGGGAGGTCAGGCTTTTTAAAAAACCTCTTATTTGTCCCTTGTCCCCCTCACCCTAAGATACACCTATACCCTGGTGTAGATCTTCGCATACCCTTCCTCATATCCTTGTAATTATGGGGAAAACACACACACGTACATGCACATAAGGACTTTCCTTCCTGCCACTGTTCTTCTGTTCTTTCCACATCTCACTTGTGGTCCACATCCTTTGAACTTCACATTCTTTCCCTCCTTCGCCTTCTTTCACACCTGTCTTCAGTAAACCAGTAGCAACCCAAGTACAGTACGACCCAACACAGTTCTCAATAAAGGGGTTGATCCCTGCTCCCAGCCTCAGCTTCCTGACCCAGAGAGAAATCTCTATATTCCTCCTTGTTTCTTCATTCAATTTTGGACATGTTTCCCTTAAAATTACTGTGCACACGTTCTCTGGGCACAAATAGCAAGCAGCCAAATCAATAAGACATTCATTTAAAAGAATTTTGTGTCCCAGAAAGTCAAGGAGAGAAAGAAATTAAACAAATATGGGCCATCCACAGAAGGGTAAACATAAAGCCAAAAGCTTTCTTTAGTTTGAACAGTCAAGGGTGAGAGAAAGAAATTCTGCTCAGCAGAAATAAACAAAAGCAGAGCATCACAAATCACAAGGCAAAACATGATTGCTAGAAAACAAACTGGTATATAGTGTCTTGCTAGAAGAAACTGTATTTTAATTTTTAAAGGATTTCATCATAAGCCCTCTTTGTCTCCATCAGTAAACAGTAATTGTGCTTATTGGTAAGGGGATAGAAAAGTAGAACCTTCTAGGATTTTAGTATAATTGTCTATACCTAGATATGTTTTTTTTTCTCATTGAGTTTATTGGTACATTTTAGGTATATGGTACAGTTACATTCATCACTGGGAACTTCTACCTTTACATGTTTACATGCCAGGTCTTGGTTCTCATTTTTACCCCATACCCCTGCCCTCCCTTCACCCCCTCCACCCTTTGCTATTTACAAAAACTTTGTTTCCATTTTTTCATTTTCTCATATTTTTTTCTTTTTCCTTATTTCCTTTCCCCTACTCTTCCCACTTCGCCTACACCTTTAGCCCTTTTCTTTCTATTTCACATTGTAAATTATACCATTTGGATCTTATTTACACTTTTAGTTTTTCACACCAGAGAAACTATTCAGTATTTATGCATGTGGGTCTTATTATTTCTCTTAAAAGTATGGCCTCAATATGTATTCATTTTCCTATGAATGACTCTAGTTTCTCATTCTTTATGGCTGAGTAGTACTACATGTTATAGAAAAACCACATCTTATTTATCCAGTCTCCAACTGATGGGCAAATGGGCTGTTTCCAAGTTTTAGTCATTACAAACTGTGCCGCTATAAACATGGGTGAGCATATATCACTGTTATGATTCTTTTAATTATTTTGGAAAGATACCCAGCAGAGGGATATCTGGGTCAAATGGAACCTCTAGTCCCAGCTCTTTGAGGTATCTCCATATTGATTTCCATAGTGGTTGCACCAGTCTGCACTCCCATGGTCAGGGCGAGGGCAGGGACGAGGGTTGGCTCACCATGGTCCCTATATTTTTGAATTTTAATTTTAAAATTATAACTGTACAATATGCTATCACTTGTCCCCAATGAAATCCATATCAGAATTTAATTTCCAATTTGAAGTATTAAGAGGATATAAATTTAAGCCACTATGGGTAGTATAATTAGGATTAAATAAGGTCAGCAGGTTGAGGCCCCATGATGGAATCCTGGTGGTTTTTTAGGAAAAGGGAGGAGGGTAACCAGAACACAAACATTCACACACCCTGTCTCTCACCATGTGATGCCCCAAGTCACCTTAGTACTCTGCCAACAAGAAGATATTACTAGATGCAGCTCCTCAATCATGGGTCAGAACTGTGAGTCAAAATAAATTTCTTTTCTTGATAATTTACCTACTCTGTGCTATGGCATGTCATCAACAAAATGGAAAAATACACAACTTAAATTTAATATTTAAGCAACATGGTATTTGTAATAGCCTCCACAGATGAATCTTCACATTCTCTTACTTTTTTTCTTTTTTGTTACACTTCCACATAAGAGAACTGAGAAAAAACAGAAAAAAGAATGAAGAAAGTAACATTCCTGAAGCTACACATCTAAGTGGCAGAGAAAGGGCAGAAACAGAAAGAGGGAGATGTGAAAAAGAACGTTTTTGTTTGTTTGTTTGTTTTGTTTTTGTAGCAGGGATCAAACTTGGGTCCTTGTGCTTGCAAGGCAGGCAGCAGAACCACTGAGCTAAATCCCCATGCCCAAAAAAGAATAGTTTCTACTGAATGAAATCCTACATATCACATTGGAAAATAAAAATAGGTATAATTTTAAGAATGGGGACAGAATAGCCTGTATGCCCATCAAAAGATTACTGGGTAAAGAAAATATGGTAATTATATACAGCAGAGTACTGCTCTGCCATATAGGATAAATCTGAGTCATTTGGAGGAAAATAGATGTACCTTGAGACCACAATGTTACATGAAATAAATCATACACACAAGCTCAAACATCACATAGTTGCTCTTGGATGAGAAACCCAAAATATAAATACAGAGCAAAATAAAGATAACAGGAAATAGATTTTTCTCAAATGAGGAGATCAAGAGATGGAGAGAAGGCTGAAAGACAGGGTTGAAAAAATAATTACGATGTGCCATGTACACATACCATCCCTCCCAGAAGGAAGGTAATCATTATGTAATATACTAATAAAAAAGGAAAAGAATGAGAGCAGAAAAGTAAAACAAGAAACCAGAGAAAAAGCTCACACAACACATAGGCAATTTTCTTTTTTTTTTTTTAGCACATTTGCAATACATAATGAAGACTTTATCAAGGAGAAGTTGGTATATGTACATATTACATCTTTATCTTTTACATTCCAAAGCCAATCTTAAAACAGACTTCAGCTACAGAAGATAAAATTGAATATAGGAGATAATGTTTCCTGTAACGTTCCCTTTTTAGTTGACCCCACATCCAATCCCATCATTTTGCCAGAAGACAGTCACAAAGTAACTATGAAAAAAGAGGTTATTTCTGGATCTAGATTTCATTCTAAAGTCTCTGTGATATCTAGATGATCCCAAGAGCCTCATGTGCTCACAGGCTTTTTGAACGTCTTATTGTTAGGATGTGGAATCTGGTCAAAAGAGGAAGGTCACCAGTGTTGTGAGCTGGCAAGGTTTATCTCCCTTCCCAGGACCTCCCTCCTCTCTGCTTTCTGGTCACCATAACATGAGTATCTTTTCCTCTGGCATGCCATTCTGTTTTTCCACCCTGCCTTGGAGCCAGCAGACTATGGGCTAAAAAGAAACCTCTACAAATTGTAAGGCAAAATAAAACTCTTCTTTAAAATGTGGGTGTCAGGTGTTGTGTCCCAGCAACAAAGAATGTGACTAACATACTCCCCTAGGAGGATATGCATATTTCCTATATAAAAAGCATGATAAAAGTTCAAATCTGTAAAATCAGATTGTAACTAAACAAAATATGTGAAGCAAATCTGCAAACCCCCAGTTGAGGCACGTTTTCCTGGGGCAAAGCATGTAGCATTCACAGGGATCACATATATCATTATAAAAAAAGATATGAACAGTGTTCTTAAAGGCAAATGGTATATTTTCCGCCCTGAGGAAAAAAAGCCCATTAGTTATATTCTATTTCTGAAATGAATTTAAGTATCCTTTAGGTCTATAGCCAATATAATATTTAATAGTTTTCTGTATGGCTTCCTCTGGTGCAAGGGCCAAATAATTCACCCTGGCGCCCCTGTGAAGGGCACTGTGGGCAAATTCTGCCTCTCTAGAGCAGAAAAATACATCCTTTTTCCACTGGATAAGACTTGGAATTGGTAAAGAGTTTTATGTTCCCCTCTTCC